ATCATGCTTATCTCTAGCAACTAGGCATAAATTAGTCATATCAATAAAATCTAAATGCACTATGTATATGTCCCTATTTTATGACCAACAAGCATAATCAAAATAGATGCAATGTCAATCAATTTTGCAATCATTTAAAATAAGACATTGTATCTTTTATCAAATTCATTTTTCAAAAGATTATGCTTTTAACCCATTCACATATAAAACATTATGCAATGACGATTAAAGAGATTAAGTGCATATGCATAAAGTTTTAAAGTTGTTATGCATTAAAAGTTGATATCATTGAAAATTTGAAATCTATGCATAAACATTAAAAAGTTTAAGGTCAATTTTTTTTGTAAAACCAAAGTTCTTGAAAAATCGATATAAATTGTTAAATAGATATCAATTATATTTTAAAAACAATTTTGACCAAAAATTAATATGATGAACTAGAGTTTATAAAACATTACCAAAAATCACTATGTCCATCATACAATATCTTTCAACATACATGATATAACACATAATCATTTAGAACATTTAAAACCTCATGCATGCATAAACTAAATGAGCAACCAAATAAAATAAATACATTAAGTTTAGAGGTTACCCATTCCTTTTTCATGTGATGCTAGATCATATTGAACATCATCATCTTCATCACCATTGCTCTCACACACCTACAAGAGACATTTAAGTAGATTTTGGTATCCAAATTGCTTTGGATCCTTGAATGTTAGTTTCAATGCCCCTTGTTCCTTTTGGAACTTATACTTGTCTAATTTTAAATCTTTTTCCTTTCTTTAAAGGACAAGTATGTTCCTTATGACCATGATAATGACAATGTGAATATATTATCATTATTGAACTAGATGAATTATTTAAAATGATCTTCTTTTCTTTTGTTAAACATTCAAATCAAAATTTTCTTTTTCAATACATTCAAATTTCATTTTTGAAAGCTCTAAATCCTTCTTCAAGAGTTTATTTTGATTTTCAAAATTCATTTTCGTTTCTAGAAGAAGTTTGTTTAATTTGAAAATTTCTTTTTTAAAGTTTTCAGATTTTAGTTTTGAAAGCTCTAACTTCTTTTTCAACATTTCATTTTGTTTTTCCAAGTCTGTTTTAGCTTTCAAAAGAAGATCATTTTTAGCTATAAATTTAGAAATCAAATTCCTATATTTGGAGTTCATGGTCTCAAACTCTGAATATAATTCATCATAGGCATCTTGTAACTCATTAAAAGATTTTGAATTTAATTTATTTGAGTTAGAAGATACATTTGGCTCTGTGAGAGCTAATAGAGACATCACCTTTATTGGTTCTTCTTCTTCCTTGTTTCTATAGATCTCCTCAAGCTTATCCCACATTACCTTGGCATTGGAACAAGAAGAAACTCCTTTATATACATTAGGATCAATTGCGCAACATAACATGTGCATAACCTTTGTGTTTTGTTGAGCTTTCTTCCGTTCTTGATCACTCCACTTCTTTGCCTTTTTCGTAGGAGAAGAATACCCTTTCTTGATTATCATCCAAGCTTCCATATCAAATGCTTGGATAAATATCATCATAAACCTCTTCCAACGACGATAATTTGTTCCGTTGAAGTGTGGAGGCACGTCAATTGGTATGGATTCTTCCATGGAGAATGAACCGGAAGTGGACGCCATCTTTATCGATTTAACTCTTTCTGAATCGACTCAAGAGGTGGTTAAACCTTCAAATGAGTGAGGCTATGATACCAATTGTTGAGTTAATCGATCGATGGAATCAGCCAAGAGGGGGTGAATTGGAAATTAAAAAGTTGGTGGAAGCTTTTGTAGAAAATTGAAAGTAATTTGCACAGCGATTTAAAGTGGTTCGACTTTCTCAGCCAAAGTCTACGTCCACTACCTTAGCTATCCACACTAAGGATTTTCCAACAAATTCACTAATTTGTTCTTTCTTTTGAGGACAAAGAGTAACCTTACAACTCCCTCAAGAATTATATCCTAATTCTTGAGCACACTCTTTTTCAAAGAGAAATACACAAATTTGCAAACTTACAAGGAAAAACTCACAAGGCAATATGTTTTTACAATTCTAGAACAAGATAAGAACACTCAAAGATAATTACAAATGAGCACAAATTGTGTTCTTGAAAGAAAAATGAATATTGAAGGAAAATTGACTTGATTTGCACAAACTTGGTGTTTGATGCTTTCTCTCTTGTTTCTCTATGATTTCTTCTTGATTGTTTTTGATCAATGGCTTCAGAACTTGTTTAAATACTCCTTCAAATAATTATGAACATTGGGGATGGTTAGTGGAGTCAATATAGCCGTTTAAGTGTGAAAACAATTAATAAAATCAGTTGGGAGCGTCTGTGCATCGATGCATACCCATGGTGCATTGGTGCATCAAGTGTAAAATTCAAATATTTTGACCGTTGAACCCTTAGTGCATCGGTGCACTAAGAGTGCATCGATGCATGAAATGCATTTCATGTTTCAAAATAGCCAGAGTGCATCGATGCATGGCTTGTGCATCGATGCATCAAATGCATTCGATGTTTTCATAAAATCCTGAGTGCATCGATGCATGGTATGTGCATCGATGCATAAAATACATTCGATGTTCAATTTATTCCATGGTGCATCGATGCATGGATTGGTGCATCGGTGCATCACTTTGAACAATTGATTTTAGGCTTGATTTTGGTTCAAAATACTTTGTGAAAATTGTTTCAAAAATATATTAAGTAATAAACACAATTTTACACATTTAGTAAGGTTTGAAATTGATCTTGAAAGACTTGGAGTAATAATTTGACATTCGATTAATTGAATCGAATATAGTTATAAAAATCTTTTGTAAAATCTTAAAATTCATTTATACTTAGTTTGTTATATTGAAACATCAAAATGTTTTCAAAAATCTCCCCCTTTTTGATATAACAAAACATTTTAGTAATTTTAAGATTTTCTTTGAAAATAAATTTTGAAAATCAAGTTTGAAATTACTCCCCCTTACTTTAACACTTCTCCCCATAACATTTAACATTTCTCCCCCTTTTTGTTAAATCTAAAAGACTCTAAACTAAGTATAACTTAGTTTATTATATCGAAACATCAAAATGTTTTCAACAAAGGTTTTAAGCAAAAATAAGGTATTGACTACAATGAAATTTTATCTCCAGTCGTGAAACTGTCTACAATTAGACTGGTGTTGAAAATTGTAGCTGCAGAGAATTTACATCTTGAGCAGTTAGATGTGAAGACAACTTTCCTTCATGGTGATTTGGAGGAAGAAATCTATATGAGACAACCAGAAGGCTTCATAAAAGCAGACAAAAAAACCTGGTATGCAGGTTTAAGAATAGCTTGTATGGTCTAAAACAAGCTCCTAGACAGTGGTACAAGAAGTTCGATAGTTTCATGAGTAGCAGTGGTTTTATCAGATGCCAAGTAGATCATTGTTGCTACATCAAGAAGTTCGACAACGGTTTCATTATTTTATTGTTGTACGTTGATGACATGTTCGTTGCAGGTTCAGACATACAAGAGATTATAAACTTGAAGCAAAAATTGTCGAAGCAGTTTGCAATGAAATATATGGGCGCTGCAAAGCAGATTCTTGGGATGAGGATTAAGAGAGACACAAAGTCGGAGACTTTGATGTTATCACAAGCTGAGTACATCAACAAAGTACTATCCAGGTTCAACATGCAAGATGCTAAACCAGTAAGTACACCTTTAGGTGTTCACTTTAGACTCTCCAAAGAACAGTCACCAAAGACGGAGGAAGAACGTGCACACATGGTGAAGGTGTCGTATGCCTCAATAATTGGAAGTCTGATGTATGTCATGGTTTGTACCATACCAGATATTGCTCATGTAGTGGGAGCTGTTCGCAGGTACATGAATAATCCAGGCAAGGTACACTGGGAAGCTGTCAAATGGATCCTCAAATATCTGCGGGGTTCTACAAACAAAACACTTTGTTTTAAAGGTGGAGATACGATACTGATAGGCTATGTAGATGCTGACTTAGCCGGAAATGTTAACATCAGAAGGAGCACTATACACTACAGGGTATGTCTTTACTCTAGGAGGAACCGCAGTGAGTTGGGTTTCTCAACTACAGAAGATAGTTGTTCTCTCCACAGCTGAAGCAGAATATGTCGTTGTTACGGAAGCCAACAAAGAGATGATTTGGCTCCAAAGTTTCTTGGAAGAGTTAGGCAATAAACAAGAAAACAATGTCTTGTATTGCGATAGTCAAAGTGTTATCCATCTAGCAAAGAATCTGTCTTTTCATTCCAGGACGAAGCACATACAATTATGGTATCATTTTATCCGGTCTCTTCTGAAAGATGGGATTTTGAAACTTGAAAAGATTAGTGGAGCTCAAAATCCGGTAGACATGTTAACAAAGACGGCGATCACGAACAAACTGAAGTTATGTTCAGCTTCAGTTGGCATGCTAGAATAACAAGACTAGAAATACTATTGCATTGATCGAGGTGTGAAGAAAGATTAAAATCAGTCTTCAAGTGGGAGATTGTAAACTAAAAACAAAATGGTGGGGGTGCATTTTTTCAACAAAGGGGGCACCAAAGTTGACGCCCCAATTTTTTAATTAAAATTGTAATCAGGTTACTTATATTTTAGTCCCTACATACTTTAGGGTATTTACAAGATTAATCCTTAAGCTTCAACTATAAATACCCTAACTCATTTAGCTTCAAAATCATCCTAAATAATTTTTTTCTCCCAATACTAGAGAGCTTTCTTGTGAGTAGTGAGTGTTTTGTAAACACTTATAATTTTTCTCTCTTTAGTGAAAGATCTACAGCAGTCCGGAGACGTAGGCAAAATTGGCTGAACTCTGTTATCAATTTCGAGTATTATTTTTTCGCTTTTAATTCGCATTCTCACTAATCTAGTTATAGGGAAATTACTCGTTTATTTCCCAACAAGTGTAATCTTGTTGTCCATAAGAAGTGCATTTCAATGCCCTACAAAATCATGATAACACGACATCCTCATATGATTTCTCATTCATATTCTCTTCAGGAAGATCATTTTTCAGATTGGAGGTGTAGAATTTGTTATGAGGAAGTCGATACAAGGTATGGCATTTACTATTGTTCTGCATGCGGTTGTAATTATATTGCTTATCTACATTGTGCTACCAATAAAGCAATTTGGGATGGAACAATTGTCTTAGAAGACAATGATGAGATCTGCAAGGAAACATGTTATTCTTCTTTGAATTTGATTATGGAAATCGTCGAACAAACGAGTATCGTAGAGCAGATGGTAGCGACTGAGATCAAACACGAGTGTCATGATCACAATTTAAGACTCAGTTTTAGTGGAGAGATAAAAAATGATAGTCAGGGTGTATGAGGCCTATAACAACTCCTTTTTATAATTGTGATCGATGCAAGTTTTTCCTCCTTAAAGATTGAGATGAATTGTCTAGAGAAAAGCGACACCCATTTCACAAGCATGTGCTAACACTCACAAATTCGTACTTGAGCCCAGCAGATGGCTATTCAATATGCTATGGTTGTACTCATCCATACAATGGATTTAGCTACCGATGCTTCAATGAAGATTGCAAATCACACTTTAAATGGGACATTAGATGTATTTCACTATCAGATACTCTGGAGAATCCATGTCATGAACATTCACTCTTTCTTGTCCACGAGTCTCCAATGAAGTGCAGTGGTTGTTGCAAAGTAATAGCCCAAGGTCGTGTTGCATATAGAAGCATGAAGCATTGTGATTTCACTTTAGATATATTTTGGGTGACGCGACCACTCACAGCTTGGTATAAGTATGATAGACATCCACTTACTCTAAATTATTCTGATGATTCTAGTCCTTCTCAACATTATTGTGATCTGTGTGAGGATGAACGCAATCCTAATAACTGGTTTTACTACTGTGTTGATTGTGATAACTCTCTTCATTCCGGATGCGCTCTCGGGAGTCCTCAATTTATGAAGCTTGGAAGCAAAGTCAAATATGGTAATCATCCACATCCATTAACTATTGTGAAAAACATTTGGAATTGGCCTCCATGCAAGGTATGCGGTAATATTTGCAATGGACTAGCCCTGGAATGTAAAGAATCTGAATGCAACTTTACCGTCCACGATTGGTGCCGTTTGTAGTGATATTCCACTCAAGTTTATCAACTTCAAAGGTTGTTTTGGTTTTTCATATCTACCCTGTATTATGTTATTATTGCTTAAGCACTCCCAAGATTTTATCATTAAATGTTAGAGTTTGAATGTGTTCCATATGTTAAATGGACTTGAATTTTTATTTAAGTCATTTTAAATTTTACATATTTTTTTTGACAAGATAGAAGTCATTAGTTTTATTAAAAACAGAAAATATCTAAATTACAGTGAAAGTTTACAACCACAATCGTAAACTAAACACATAATAACGACATTTTACTATAATCATTAATACAAGAAACTAACCACTTAAGGTCACACAAGGAAAAGGTTAAAAAAACTTAATCAAATAAACTCGAGTAAAAGACAAGTAGAAATAAATCTTACCGCATTGATAAACGAACCATACATAAGAGGGGATGCTTACCATGTCACAAAGTTAATAGAAACAAAAACATTTTTTTTGCATACTTGTGTTGGACTTACCCGGGTAGTCTCCAAGGGCATGTATCCCATTGTTGGGGGTCGAGCGATGACTATTTCTTGCATGGTATTGAATTAGACTTCCGATCTAGAAATTCATGTCAATGAATCTATCTTTCTTGTTAGAACATTGTCCTAGATTTGGTAAGATATTTCCCAAAAATATCATCATCGGCACCTCATCTGAACCTATCACTTGCCACAAGTTCAAGAGAGGACTTAGCAAACTTTCAAATATGTTGACAGACTGTGGACATACATGGATGTTTAAGTAGGAGAAAGGGGGTTTCATCTTGGCTGGTTTTTTTTTTGTATGTAGGTGTTTAATGTTCACCGCACAAATTGTTGATGGGAACAAGTATGCCTTGTCGATCTTTGGCGGTTCACCCTTCTAGTTTGGGCAGAGAGCCACGACCAGTGAGAGATTGACTGTTGGTCGGTGTTTATCTATTATAGAGATAAAGGCATAATGAAATACAATATTAAAAGAGAAGGAAAAGCGAGAGGGTTATTCTAGGTAGAGAGTCCAAGAGTTCGAGAGAGAGCATGCTCACCTTTCAGCCTTTCCTCAGGGCATAAGTACATTGACTATAGGATAGCTGGAGTCAGGCCTAGGGTTACCATGCTTGATAATAAGTTGAAAGAATATGAATATATGACTATCACCTATCAGATTTAGTTGTTGAAGGTCATATAAAAAATGAGGATCATGGACTTCATAGAGCGATCCCAAAGGAGGGTGAATCGGAATATGGCAGTCTCCAGGGAACTTGTGGAAGCTCTGCTTAAAGGGTACAGTCTTCTGGGGGTCTTTATCAACGGAGATTTGGTAGTTTTTGGAGAGTCTTTTTTGTAGGCATAACATTTGGTGTTCCACTCTCACTGTACTAATTGTTTTTTGGGAAACAAGTTAATCTCGTCGGTCTTTTATAGTTTACCCTTTCTGCTTTGGATGGAAAGCCACGAATGGTAAGAGAATAGCTATCGATCATTGTTTCTCTATGATAGAGATGAAGGCATAGTGGAATATGTGAGTAAATGAGAAGTAAAGGGAGAGGGATTGCTTTAGGTAGAGGGTCCAAGATTTCAAGAAGAGATTGCCCCCTTTCAGTCTTTCCTTGAGGAATAAATACCCTGATTATAAGGTGCTTGTGTTAGACTCAGTGTCATCATGTCAATGTCAATTAATAAGTCGGCTATGTAGATATGTCTAAGACTAAGGAGAGCAATTCTGGAGGGTGATCCAGAGATAGCGTAGTGTGTCCGAGGAACTTTTGAAAACTCATCTCAAATGATGTGGTCTTCTGAGAGTCTTTATATCAATGAATATTTGATAGTTTCCAAAGAATATTCTCCGGAGGTATAACAAATGTGTTTTGATATAGGATTGTTGATATAGTCATGATGCCTTAAGTGTTTATCGGAATACTTAGAGAGTGGATAATTCCAAATTTGTTTAGTATGACGCGTGCCTATAATATAATGAAATTGTGATGTGTCAAAGAATTGTCCAAGTCCGATCAGCTTTGTAACATTGGATCTTACTTTGCGACCCAAGTCCAATTATATGAAAGCCTGGTATACACCCTGAAACGTTCAGTATGTACTGCATCGCTGTACGTGAAATCGACATGCAAATAATAACTGTTCTCTGTTTTCTTCAATATCTTTTCTCAACCTAAAACGAGAAAAATCTCTCCAGGTTTTTTTTTAATCGAATCAAAATATAAAACCCACAATTTTAAATTGTTTATTTATTTTTTAATTCTTCAGAAATTATCCATTTTCTCTTGTTTTCCTGTTTTAAGTACAATAAAGCCGCGTAATTTGATCTAGGTTTATATATTCTCGATCTGATCAAAATTTACAATTTGTTGCATGATTATCGGAACGGTTTTTTGGTTTATTGAGTAAAAAAATGTTACTTTGGTGATTTGAGAAATAAAAAATATGGGATTATCTTCACTGGATCTTAATTCTTAAAGGAGTTGAATTTAAGGGCATGATTTTTAAGTCTGATGGAATTTAATTTGATTGTTGCAGAGGAAAGAGTGCGAAAGCTTTTGGAGCAATGGAAAGAACAGTCTTTACTCCATCATTGGAAGGAATGCAGCATATCAGATCTCCACAGGGAGAAATGCTTACAAAGCCTTTCCTTGAAGTCTGCAAGTTGATTTTGCCAATCATAGGTTTGTTTTTCCACGGTACCCTTGTTTTAGGTTAATGGGTTATTGTTAGCTTTTGTTAAGCTTGTTAGATTTGTTAGCTTTTAGCATCTACGTCAAGTTCAAACTTTATGGAAATCTGTGGACTATTTAAACATTTCAGCAGCAACTTTGTGATATTTGGAGAAAAGATTGTAAGCAGGGATGGATGGACTAAGGGGGAGCGTGTTGGGTAGTCGCCACCTAAAAATTTCAAATTCTTATATGTTTTAGAAATTTTCTTATAATTTAGATTAAAAATGTTTTCGCCTTTATAATTTTATAAATTCGTCCCCTACATAAAATTATACATTGAGTGGTGTTGTCAAGGCGCTTGTGTCACCTAGACACATATTTGTAAGAAGATAGGTATAAAAAAAAACCCATCTAGTTGAAGTTTTCTTTAATTTCTTTTATTTTGCACCTTCTTTATTGGATATACCTTTACAGGCAAAAGAAGGGATAGTATCAAGCTTTCTGCTTCTCAACTTTTTTTGAGCATCCAATTAGAACAAAGGAAATCATGCATATTAACTAATAAAAAATTGCTTGTTTTGTAAACATGACATACCTCACTTTAGAATTTATTATGTCTTAAGCTATATGTACACACACATAAAAGCTTTCACATATATATGCACTTTCCTTCAATTAGGATAGCATTCTGATTGCATCTTGCAAATGCCTGATAATTTAGCCGATAATACTATCTTTGGGTTGTCAAATATTGTATTTGAAAGTGCAGATGGGATCAATGTAGTGTCATTTGGATGTTGAAGGTGTGCATTATGCAGGGGATTACTGGCTTTCTTTATTGATGGATACAATGTTGATTAAACCTCCACGTTACTTTTGCAGATAAATTTGGAGCTGCTATGGCCCTGGTAAAGAGTGATATTGGTGGTAACATATCAGTAAGATGTTTATATATGAGCCTGTGATATTGGCACATAAATTGTGCTATTTTATTTTGCAACGACCATGTATTAGTCAATTACTGCGTTGCTTCTGTCTTCAGAGACTGGAGAAAAAGTACGAATCTGATCCCACTAGATACAACTTCTTGTACAATATGGTGAAAGAAGAGTTTGAATGTAACTCAGCAAAAGGATCAACTAGTTGTACCAATGGTATTCTCTGGTTGACAAGGTACATTTTACATGTACTTGCCGAAATTCCAATGCAATTGCAGAATCTTATCTTAGTTCTCATATATTTCATCCCCATGTACTTGACAATCGGGAATTTTATTACAATTATTTGATGATTTTCAGAGCAATGGATTTTGTTGTAGAATTGTTCCGCAACTTACTTGCAAAGGCAGAATGGACAATGGCAGAAGCTTGTACAGATGCCTACTGCAAGACCCTGAAGAAATACCATGGATGGATTGCTAGCTCAAGTTTCACAGTAAATACATTTATTTTTTGTTTTCACCAATGAACAACCTGAGTCGAAGATTGAGCATCCTTTTCTTTTTCTTTTTGGATATTTGAGAACTGAATTGCTTGTTCTATATCATTTTGAGGGAAATGCTGGATGACAGGTTGCTATGAAGCTTGCACCAGATAGGAAGAAGTTCATGGAAGTTATAGGTTCTGAGGGAGATGTTACAGCGGACATGGAGAAATTTTGTTCGACGTTTCCTCCATTTCTTGAGCAGAATCATAACTTTCTGGTAAAAGGATTTGCTAAGAGATGAATCTTTCTTTCTATATCTCCATTCTATGTATATGCAACTGTCATGTCCTTTGATCTTTGAGAATGATAGCATGTATAAGGTTGAAGGGAGAAATATACATGTATAACTAGCCGAAAAATAAGCCTAAAAAAATAATAAAACGCATATTCCATTATGAGAATCAACTAACAAAATTTATATATATATTGATGTAGGCTAGGTATGGTTTGGATGATATGAAGGCTTGATGATGGGAAGAATCAAATGTTTAATGACGAGGAGGATACAATGGCCTTTATTTACTTTGTTTTTTTTTTTGTGATCTTGGTTTCAGGTTCTAAACGTTTGAATTATATGAATAATTAATGGAATTAAGGTTGAAAGTATAGTAGTATTTACCTTTACTTGTTTCCATCACTTTCAAAGTAGTGCTAATTTTGTTATTTAATTCGTCGGAGTTGGTACAATAAAATCAATATGAAGTTGGAATCTGGAACCGAATACTCCTATGCTTCTTAGGAAATGGGAACTGAATTTGAAGAATTTGGAATTCAACTTGGACCGCTTTCCTATTTAGGTTTAATTATTTCACGTCCCTATTGAACTCTTTACTCAAAAAGGATCAAGTTACATTGTTAGTGTTCTAGGGAATTCCTCTACATGGATGGCATTATGGCATCGAGGAAGAAACTCGCTTATGCTAAGGTTTGTATTGAGGTAACCCTGATCTTAAGCTCTATCGTTATATTAATGTGATACTTTGTAGTGGAATTGTAGTACCCATTGGGGTGGTGGTTCCTTGGTTTCCGGTTGGGTGTACTACTTGTAGTACCTCTTCCCACTCTGATAAGGCTAGTGCAAATAGATGCGGGAAAGGTTAGAAAGTTTGGAGGCCAAAGCAAATAGGGGACTCTTTTGAGAGTGATTCTTTGTATTGTGATACCTCTGCTATTCAAATGGGTGTGAATAGTACTAGCGGTGAGAAGTTTGAAGCCCTTAGTGATGTCTCTAATTTGAACAACGTAATTGAATTTTGACAGGGACTCTTTAGTGATGTCACCCTTCTGGTGATGTGGGATTTTGATAGTGTTGTTGAGGTTAGGAACATTGTGCCTCACATACGGAAGGCGTGTGCTTGCGCCTTTAAAAACCAATGTCTCAAATGAAAAGTAAGGGGAAATGTTTAGGGAAGATGGAGGCAAAGCTTCACCAACTTTAAATATAAATTTGAGATGCCTGCTAGAGCAGATCTAGAAAATCCCCCTCCTATTGTTCATGAAATCCCCTCAAGGAAGCCTCGGGCAACTGCTCCTAGAGTTGCAAATTTGTTGAATGAGATCAAATCAAAAACGAAAGGTCAATTGAGAAAGTTACAAAGTGTGGAGAGGGTGCTGTCATTTCAATTGAAGGTATTTTTTTTTCTAATCCCTCTCTATGATTATTTGCTTTTGAAACATTAGGGGTTTAATGCATCCAATAAGGAAGTAAATGTTATGAAAAGGATGAATAAGTTGAATGTTGATGTTCCGTATCTTTTGGAAACTAGAGTGAAAGAGAACAAAGCTCAAGATATTGTTACTAAACACTTTGTTGATTAGAATGCCCCTTTTAAATATAATTTCAATTGTAATGGTAGGATTTGGGTACTTTGGAAAAATGGTTCTACATTTTAGTGTTTGTCATTGTAAGTTATGTATCGTCTCTAGATAAAACCTTAGAATTATCTTGTAAATATTAGTATTTGAGTTTATTTCCAACTCTAATCTAATTTGTAGATAAGGATAAAGTTCACTTAGCTATGACTCTTAACTCAACTCTTGTATAAAAATTATTGTACAGTTTCTATTGAAAGACAATAGTGAATAAAATTTCTCTTCACCAGTAAACATATTTTCTACATGGTATAAGTTTAGGTTAGATCTCACCTCATCATATTCCGACCACAATGGTTTCTCAACCTCTTCCGAGGTTGTTGTGAACTGGCAATCTTCCAAACAACTGTCTTCGTGTGATTCTCAGGGCCATTTTGTTACGGTTCCTACTATTAGCAGTAGTTCGTTTAATTAACAACAGATGGAGGAGCTTCTGTAACTGTTTGGAAAATTAAATTCTTCTTTCGAACCCAAGCATGTGTATTGTGCGCGACAGTAGCATCTCTTTGGCTCCGTTGACATCTTCGCCTGTTTTTACTTTGTGGATTGTTGACTCTGGGGCGAGTGATCATATGACCAAGGATTTTAAATTATTTTAGAATTTTCACATAGCAGTTTTTTCTTCTAATATTCAAACTGTTGATAGTTCGATTTTGGCTATTGCGGGGAGTGGCCCTGTTTGGGTAAACCCGCGTATTATTTTACATTCTGTATTTTATGTTCTGAATTTGGCTTGCAATCTTTTTTGTGAGTAATTGTCTGCCAACTTTTGTTGCACTATTTGTTTTAACTCCGATATTTGTGAATTTTAGGATTCAAGCTCGAGGAAGGTGATTGGCAGTGCTAGGCTTAAGGTGGACTTTACATTTTTTACACCTCTCCTCTCATTCAGACCCATGCCAACTTTAGTATTTTCTCTCCTTTTGTTTCGATTTTTCCATTGCATAATGATGTTTCGGTCGAGATATTTTTATGGCATTTTTAGGTTAGACCATCCTAGTGTTTCCTATCTAGCAAAATTGTTTCCGAAGCTATTCATTAATAAAATTCTTCCTTCTTTTCTTGTGATATTTGTCACATTATCAAACAAACCCGAAGTATGTATCACTTTTCTTCATATCACTTTTCCAAACCTTTTACCATTATACACAATGACATTTGGTGTCCTTTTTATGTCAAAAGCTTAAATATGGTTCGTTTGTTTGTTTCATTTATTTATGCTCATTATTGTACTATGTGGACTTTTCTCATGCGCAATAAATATGAGGTTGGTGATATTTTCAAATGATTTAGCAAGATGGTTGAAGTTCAATTTCAAAGTTTTATTGAGATTTTTAAGTCACGTAATGGTAGTGAATATTTTTCACTCTTTGGGGTCTTTCTTTCAGGAAAAGAGGATTGTATATATCACTTATGCCAATTCACCTCAAGAAAATGGGGTAGCTGAGTGTAAAAATTGTCATCTTCTTGAGGTTACCGAGTCACTTTTTTTCTATTATCTCATTAACCATACGCCTAGTAAGGTTCTTCAATTCCAGCGTCCTAGGGATGCCTTTACTCGGTTTTTACCCATTTTAAAGTTTTGACTATTCGTGTTCCTCTTTTAGTCTTTGATTGCACTATTTTTGTTCACAACTATACCATATCCAAGTCTAAGCTCGATCCTAAAGCGATTTGGTGTGTCTTTATTAGGTAATATTCTCACCAAAAAGGTCATTGATGTTACTGCCCTCAAACTAAAAAGGCTTTTTCTTCTAGGGATGTTATCTTTCTTGAACATAAATATTTTTATCCAAGTCTAAACTCTAGGAGAGCGTGAGTAAGTTTGAATTTCGACCTTTCCTTGTTACTACCGAACTGCCAGTCACCTTGTTTCCATCCGAAAACTACCTACATTCAACCAACAAGCTTTGACACCACGAAACTACAAAATCTTGAATACCACACACCAAAACACAGAATCATGAAAACCATATCGACTTATATCAAACCATGAACCCAGAAAATTCTCCTAAAACACCAAGTCCACCTCGTTCACCGCTTATCTCTCAAACCAAAAAAAAAAACCTTCTGTATAAATGAAGGCCAAACCACATCCCAATTATCTCCATACAACCCATTTACTACTAAGAACCAAAAGCAGGTTTCAATCCCTTGAATAGTAAAGAAGGGGATTAGAGTATGCCTAGTGAGTAGGATGTCTTGGTTGATACTAGTGAGTTACCAATTGCTCAAAGAAAGGGAATATGACGATGTACAAATCATCCTATTAATAAGTTTATGGCTTATGATAAACTAAATCATGGTTTTAAGAATTTTACAGTGAAGGTAGATAGCATTCACATTCTAGACCCAGTGGAGGAAGCTTTTAAAATTCCAGAATGAAAGAATGCAGTGGAATATGAACTTTCGACACTTGAAAGCAATAAAACTCGGATTATTGTCGATCTTCCTAAGAACAAAAAATCAGTTGGTTGCAAATGGGTTTTACCGTAAAATCCAAAGCGAATGGTAGTTTTGAGCGATATAAGACCAGACTTTGGCAAAATGTTTCACTCAAACTTATAGTGTGGACTATCAAGAGACTTTTGCTCTAGTTGCAAAGCTCAACACGGTAAAAGTGTTACTATCCTTAATTGTGAATGAGGAGTGGGTGCTTAATCAATTAGATATCAAGAATGTATTCCTAAATGGTAATCTTGAAGAAAAATTTACATGCGAATTCTACCGGGAGTACAAATAACATTAGGAAACCAGCAGGGATGGAAATTGTTAAAATCGTTATATGGACTAAAACAACCTCCTAAGGCTTGTTTGACAGGTTTAATATTATACTTTTACGAGATAACTACAAGCAGTGTCAATCTGATCATATACCGTATTTATAAAGACTACACCAAACAAGAAAAATGCAATCTTAATTGTCAATGTTGACAATATCATCATCAGGGTAATGATTTTGTGGAGATTGAGAGATTGAAAGAATTATTGGCAAGAGAGTTTGAAAACAAGACTTGGAGACTTTACGATATTTCTTGGGCATGGAAGCAGTTTGATTGAAAAAAAAGTATTGTTATCAACCAAAGTATATTCTATACTTGTTTTTGAGACTAGAATAATTGGTTGTAAGCCTTCGGAAACTCCCATAGAATCTAATTAGAAGCTACGCAAGGAAGGTGGTCCCATAAATAAATAGCAATATTAAATGTTGGTAGGTAAGCTCATATACCTATTTTTAACTAGGCCACACATAGCTTACTATGTTAGCATTGTGAGTCGATACATTAATGATCCTAGAGAAGAACATTTAGAAATTATGTACCGAATTCTAAGGTTTGAAAATGACTCTCGGACATAGGTTAATAATTAGAAAACATGAATATAGAACAATAAAGATTTTTTTCCAGATTATAGCTGGGCTGGAGAGTCAACATACAGGAAATAAGGGGCAATCCCGATACCTCTATCCACCTCTTCAGTCCTTCTCTCCACCGAAGTGGTGATTAACAACGCAACCTTTTCGCAATCAATCGAGTGGAAGCCATTTTCACCCAGAGCTTCAAAACAGCCCCATAATTCAGCTAACCTTCTGCAAGTAATATGATTCCAGCAAATAAGGGGCAATCCCGATACCTCTATCCAAGTAGCTCTTGGCACTTTCAAAGGTAATTCATACCACATCCAAACCTCTGCAAAAATTTAATTTAGATAGGACCAGTCAAGATCTTCCATCGTCATGAAAAGATCATCGTCGCCTATGACTATCAGGAAAGTTTTCCCACCCGTTCGATAAACTTTATTTCGCCAAGCCCCATTTCTCCAATCTATCTCTGATACTCCGGGTACTACACACCGTAGCCATCTCACCAACCAAACACCTCTTATCTTCAAAAGCTCATCCTTCTTTACATGACCAACTATCCTCTTCTTTTTCACCTCCTTTTGCCATCTTGTACTGCCAGAGCCCTCTCCTTCCTTCTCGATAACTTTATGAACTGTTTGGGCTTTCTTAGATATAATATATATGATCTATCTAAAATGATATATTAAGAAATGAAAAAATGAAAATGATAAAGAGCATCCGGATGAAAATGATGTAACATTTTCACAACCATTATCTTATATTTGCCACCAGTCAAGCATAACAAAATTGCAGCCAACTTAATCAAAATAACTATTTAAAGGTGACAAGACCTTGTACAAAGTTAAGAGCCGTTATTATATTAAAAACTTTCATTAATTATTTTTCTTAGAAAAAACCTTCAAGTCAGATTCGTTAAAAAATACCTTTTAAACTGTCATGTAGAATTATTTCGAGTTTCGTAAAATACGAAGTCAGATTTCGCGTTTTGTAAAAAGCGTGTTTCATATATTTATTATTTGGTTCACGAAAAAGATTAATACCAGAGAATAATATTTTTCCAATATTAATATTTTTTGTTAAAATGATGGGAATGATATTACTTTCAAATTATTATATATTAAATCATTTTCACCACTTAGGACAATAATACCTCTATACTAATGAATTATTTTTATAATGATCCTTCTCAATTCTTATATTTTTCACCATACTCAAAACTTAAACATAATAATAATATATAAAGAGTTTACTTTAGTCAAATATTAATAAATTTTAGTATTTAAAATTATTTTATATTTTTAATATTCAATATATTAATTATTTGTAATTTTATGAGGTGAAAATAATATTATTATAAAAATATAATTATTTTAAATAAAGCTAACGTTAAGTTATTAAAAAACCCGACATGGAATAAAATATATTTAAAACAGATTGCACCTCAATAATAGAATCAATAGAACCTTTGTAAAAAATGAGCAAATCATCATCAAAACATAGGTGGCTGGTGTCTCTGCTAATCAGTGTGTTGCTATAAGGGAGCTTACTGGTTTTAAGTTGGGAAATCTCCATGTGAGATATCTGGATGTTTCATTGGTAACTAGAAAACTTCCTGTGAATGATTGCCAAAGTCTTATTGATAAGATAAAGTCAAAGTTGAATTTATGGGCTAATCGACATCTCAGTTTTGCTGTCAGATTGCAACTTGTTCGTGTTGTTTTATTCAGCATAGCTAATTACTGATGCATGCAGCTTATTCTCCATAAATAGTAATTAGGAAGATCGAGTAATTTTGCTCTCGTTTTTTTTTGGAAGGGTTCTGATCTGCCTGTTAAGGGTGCTTGAGTCAATTTGAGACAGGTATGTTTATTAAGATCTAAAGGGGAGTTGGGTGTAAAAGATATTGGTGGTTGGAATAAAGCTTGTAATGAATGTTCCCTCTAGGTGGCTTGGATTCGTGCTTATGTGATCAGGAATGCAGATTTTTGGCAGATGGTTATTCCAATCAATGCAAGTTGGAGATTTAGAAGCATTTTGAAATTGAATCTTGCTATTTCTCATCTATTTGTTGATTCAGGTAGTGATCTTAAAACTGGACATATTTGGGAGGATTTACGTGTTAAATTCCAAAGGTTCCATGGCATAGTCTGGTTTGGTTTCCAGGACGTATTCCCACACACAATATCATTGTGTGGATGGCTATTTTAAATAGGCTTCCTACCCGGGTAAGACTTTTGAGAATGGGATTAAGCATTGACAATGATAAGTGTGTGCTTTGTGGTGCTAAGGCTGAGACTAGAGATCACTTGATCTTTGATTGTGGTTTTGAGAGAGTTATGGGGTGATATCCTTACTTTGTGTGGTGTAACTCGTAGGGTTAGTTGCTGGGATAGGGAGTTGGCATGGGTTGTTCACTGTTTTAAGGGGAAATCTCTCTTTGTGATGGTGTTTAAGCTTGCTTGGGCTGGTCATGTGTATGACATTTGGAAGGAGAGAAATAGTAGGCTTTTTGGGTCAAAGCTAGATTGGTGGGTGATGTGTTGAAGGACATCAAAGAAACTATTTAAATTCGGCTGAAAGGATGGGGCTATCAACAGAGCTGATCCTAAGAATGATTCCCTTTGTGTGAATTTGGATATTTCTTAAGGTTGTGGGGGTTCACTTGTAATGGTTGCTTCTTTTACTGTTTGTATTAGCATAAGTTAAATTGTTGTTTATGTAGCAGGTATACTACTTTTCTTGGGTAATGAAAATGGAATTATCCAAAAAATTATTAAAAAATAGATATTATACATTAAAATATAATATCTTTGCCCACTAGAGACCATAATATTATTTTTTCATGTTAAATTATATTTTATATAAATAAATACGATAGTTATGAAAATTATTTAAAAATATAAGTTTAATATACTAATTATATATCAAATGTATTTTTCTCAAAAGTTATATTGTATAACAATTAAATATTTCTATAAATTTTCATTTAAATATTTATAATTTAGTATTAAATTTAAAATATATCAAAAGGTTAATTTAGTAAAATATAATTTAAGTAATCTTATATTCTTTCAATCAAACATTATAATTTTACAGTCCTGTTAAACAAAGCAAACAGAGTAATATAACATATAATGTTACCCTCTAATAATGTTATTCTCAAAAATAATATTACATTCCGTTGAACCGCCCCTGAAATCTACCTGCATCCCCTGTTCATGCTTCTTGAGGGCGATTAAGGGAATGATTTCTTCATATTTACTGAACTCGTTTTCTGTCATTTTCCTTGATACTGTAACAGTGCTGTTGGGTCTCAATGTATTTTGCTAGGGGACATCTTCTTAGATAATAAATTTTAAACGTCTTTATGTGTATATAAACAATGTTACCCTTAAATATCATATTTAATAAATTAAGTTAATAGAAATAAATCAGAATTTTGACTCACACATTGGCGGAGGATTTGCCATTCATTTTTCCTGGAACCGTTTTTCCCTCGCATTCACTAAAATAAACCTTTAAAAAAAAAAAGAAAGAAAACAAAAAGTAGGCAATGCTTCTAGTGGGAGAGACCTCTTAATGTTCATCTTTTCTACGACTTCAAACCAATGCAACAATCAATAAAATTGGAGGAGTTCAATCTCCTCTTCTCTCTTTTTTTCTTCTTCTTCCATTTATATATTTTCCCAACAGTTTTAGATAGTTTATTTGTTTTCATGCATATATGATATACCATATGAATCAATAATGTACAAAGAGATTCCAGATTTTAAGAGCTTTTGATTCCCAAGTTGTAGGTATGTTTTTCATGTTTGTTATCTCTAATGTATATAATCTTTATATACTTTTTTTATATAATTTTCAAGATTCTTTCTTTGTTTTTACTCCACCTCTGAGATAATAAGCATATCTCTTATTTCCATTTGCAAACTAATCTGCCATTGTTGATTACCAGCCAAAATGAAGGGTTTTCTAAGAGGTATAAAATACGTTTCCCACATTTTTGGTGAGTACCCAGATTTTTCCCCCTTATTTATTATATATATGATTTGTTTAAAACATTATCTGTTGATGTGGAGCAAATTAACAATTATGCAGAGGGTGAAAAAGAACCAGAAATGCAAATTGGACTTCCTACAGATGTAAAGCATGTTGCTCATATCGGCATGGATTGTCCTACTGTAGCTAAACCGAGTTGGGTATGTTGTCGTTTTTTTCTTTTTATTCGAGAACATTGCAATTATCGTGAATGTGGACGTAACAAATGTAAATTTCGAAGGATATTTGTCACGAAATATGACAATTTATTTATTTTTAATCCATACAGATGAATGAGTTCAACTCTGAGATCCCAACATTAAATCCTTCAAATGGTGATCAACTACAACTGCTGCCTCCTCCTCCAGGTTTGCTTCTTTTTCGTTTTTAGAATAATCAAGCACTTTATAATCATTTGATGTGATTCGAATTTAATAGATTTCGTCACAATTCAAGTTATAGTAGATTTTCTTTTACAAAGAGATCGATCCTTTCATAAATGATAAATTCCTCTTAAAAAGATTGAATCTCAAGGTTTTTTCTCACATTACAAATAAACGATGAAAAATAAACAATTTTTTTCTCATACGGATAAGTTTTTTCGTTATATAAATCGATCCCAAGGTTATGAAACCATTATTCATGAGTGAAACACAGAATTTGATCCAAATAAAAGATGAAAGATGATATTTTATATTATATATAAAATAATATGAGAAGATTACAAGACTCCATAATCTTTTTTGGTGCAGGAAGTCAGGACTCATTGTCAGGTAACGGCAGTGAGAAGCCAAAGAAGTCTGGAGGCAAACAATCAGTAGGAAGTAGCCCATCTGCGGGGTCCGAGAAGAGTACTAGGCGCCAACGTACGCCGGAAGAATCTGCTAATCGAGATCCATCTTCCGATGAAAAGCAGCAACGACGTTCGAGTCATGACACCAAATCATCTTCTCAAGTACCTGACATCCCCAAAAAATATCGGCAAAAGAAATCAAAGAGATCGTGTGGCGGATCGGAGGCATCTCTGTCGCCGGCCGTATCAAATTTTGAGATCAAAGCATGAAAAGACTGGATTACTTTGTAGAGGATTATAACATCAACCACGTTACATACAATCATATACTTTTCTGTGTGTGTCTTTTCCCATGCCCATTTCCGGGTAAAAGTAGATTAACATTGCATCAAAATGTATGCTTCCATTAAAGTTTTCATCTATATATATGTCTGTTATAATTACTGCAACTTTAGTTTGCATGTTTTCCAGCAAATATAATAGTAATATGTAGACCAACACGGATCATCTTCTTAAAAATCGTGTCCTTCCCTCATCAGACCAAAATAGATACAAATAAACGTTGTCGTTTAGATTTGGATTTTGGATTAACACGTTGTCGTTTAACTGCAGTTTATTACGTTTAATGTTTGAGTGGTACGGTGTCGTTTTAGAGTTTTAGTCTTTTGTTGGCGTTGGAGTTTAATTAAAATGATGTTGGGCTGAAAACCCTGAATGTTCCTAGGGTTGACTATCTATAAATTGGATGGGAATTTTCTTTTGTTTAATTGCACTTAAAATCCTCAATTTTTTTAAAATAATAATATAATTTTTGAATTTATTTTATATTTAATTAGAAAAACATTTAATATGGATTTTTAACTAATAAAAATCATTGTTAATCATAATAATTGATAACCGTCGTTTTGTTATCAAAATAATTCCGGCTTATTAATTAAATAGAAAGGAAAATGTAGTATAGAAAAGCATGGTCGATCCACAGAGACTATGATTTTTATGATTTAGTAAAATTGTTTCTTGATTTTAGGAAAATATAAAATTCCAGGTAAAATTAAAAATGTATAAAAAAAGAAATAATTATAAAAGAAAATAATAAAATAATAAATAATTAATTAAAAATAGCAATAAAGATACAAATAGGGTTTTAATTATTTAAAGAAGCATAATGAGATAAAAATTAAATAAACAAATAAATAAAATAAATAAATTGGGTTAAAGAAAACTTATAGTGAAAGTAGCCTCAAACTTCAGCTTTGTCTCAAATTCCTCGGATCATCGAAACAGATTTTTACTTCAAGATTCACGTCGGTTTACAAGGACAATTCTTCGCTGCCAACTCGAATTGTGTCGTTTCAATAATAACTGATTCTGATCTCAGTTTCCTCTTAGCAAACAATTTTGCTAAGTGTGTTCTCGTGAAGTTGAGTATGCTTCAATAAGCAAATCCTTCTTCAAACGTTAACCATAACAATATCCAGACTAATGTCAAAATAGTTTTGATTTGAAAAGTGAGCTCAGAAAACAAAGAGAAAAATCTGAAACGATTTAAGTACCTTACAATTCTCACGTTTGGAATTGAGTCTTCGCTTTAGTCTTCGGCTTGAGAGAAAATTAGCTAAGCATGACCAAAGTCATACTTAGCATAATTGAAAAGTATGCGAAAAATAGAGAGAAAGCTAGAGAGAAAAATAAGATATTATTCTCAGATGAGAGATGTGGTTTTAGGCTTACCCTGAGAGAAATTCCTAAAAACAAGCTAAAACAGCTTAAATCCCAATTAAAACACTTAAAACTATTTAAACTAAAATACCTAAAATAATAATATTTTAAATCCTAATTAAAATACTAAAACCTATTTAAACTAAAATACATAAAACAAAGATAAAATATAAAAATAATATCCTAAAACTTAATTAAAACACTAAAACTTATTTAAACCAAAATACCTAAAACAAAGATAAAATATAATGTTTAAAATATTATCCTAAAACTTGAGTTTAATCAAATCCGAATTCCAGCCAACTTTGATTCCGAAAATAAAAAAAACTGCAGAATTTTGTCCTTTTTGTGCAATTCCCAAAATCTGACGTCCTACACAGAAAATGAATCAAAACGAACAATTAAACCACAAAAATCAATGATTAAGGATTAATTTAAAGAAAAATATTAACTAAATTAAGTACTTATAAAATTCTCCCTCACTTATTCAATGCTTGTCCTCAAGCATTCATAAATTAACATATCAAAATCATAAGTTGTCATCTTCAATTTTAATTTATTCCTCAAACTTCCAATCGAACTAAGTCATGATATTTTTCGAATTCAAGTTACGATCAAGAAAAGATACAACCAAGAAAATTTAAAGTAAGCAAGATATCACAATTAATTGCCAACTTCAATGAAACATGACTTAATATATCACAAAGATTCACACATATCTGCTCAAAGTGTTTGGGGTAAATGAAATCGTTCAAACCGAAACTAACCAAAATATTATAATAGGTTTGGAATCCAATCAAGTCTCCACTACGAAAAATGAACATAATGCAATAATCAAGGGGTCTTTAAACAAGGTGTAACGGGGCTTAGGTTAGGGTAGGGAAAATGCCGAAAAGAAAGGTTTAAAATACCGAAACAATATATCAAAATAATTAAGAACAATCCATGAATTAACATGAAGCGTAATGAATAACAAAACAAGGAAAAAAGAATAGATGAAAGACAATTGAAACGATCGATTTTTCTTTCCTTTTTTCGAACAAGGGTCTGTTTTTCCCCTTTTTCTTCATGCTATTTGAAACATTGAACAACTTGTTTTTTTTTTTGAATTTTTTTCAAAATAGTGATTTTTCATTTTTTTCGTGGAATAAGAATGATACAAGATCTCAAGTCTCGGTAAGAGTCTAAAACAAAGAAAGAGAAATAGACTCAAATTTGGTTCACTAGTGGATATATAAACAGGTAGACTTTTTGGGAAAAGTGGATTTATCCTAGGTTCCCCTATCACATTAAAATATTAAATTCAACATGTAGTCTCGATATGCATTGTGATTACAAGTTCTAGAACATCCTAATTAGTTCGGCACACACAAGTCAAACAACGAGCAATAAAGAAAATGTATGTTTGTTAGGCCCAAATCTCACAAGAAAAGTTTATGTGCATTGAGTCAAGTTTATCTCTATCGACAAAAGCCTGAAATATCAATACTCAACAAAAATTCACTAGCTATATCAATCACCAATCATGCAAATTAAATTCGATCAAAAATATGGTTATAATCCAAAAGGAAGCAAGAGTATAAAGCGAAATTCAAGACTAGAAACCGATAATCCCAACATATAAACATCAGAATAACTAAATTTCAATCAATTAAACAAATCAAGGAAAAATTTGACGACATGTTTTTCCTTCCCCATCACTTATTCCGTTTTGTTCCAAAACGTATATCAAATTTAAAAACAAAGAGAATGAAAAGGAATACTCCCCAATCTAGTGGCGACCGCGACAGCGGCCACGTCGAGATGAGCTGTTGTAGAGTAGAATGTCCGATACTACACTGTTCTGTTCGAACTTTTCTTCACAGATCGAACCAAATCTATTTTTTTTGCACTGTTTTTTTTGCACTGCACTGTTCGAATATGCTGTGTATTTTTCTATACTGTTTGAATCAAATCAATTTTTTCTGCACTGTTCTGTTCGAATTTTTCTACACAGTTCGAACCAAGTCAGTTTTTCTGAATTTTTTTCGTTAAATATTCGATCGGAATTCGAATCTGTTCAGAGAAAAATAAAATAATTCAAAATAAAATAAATAGAATGAAATATAGTTCGGTTTGAACAGTTCTTGGTTCTATCTTGCTTAAAATTCAAGTAGGAATAACGCCGTACCTAAAAAAATCAAAGAAAAAAATCATAAAAATAAAATTGAAAATAAAAATAGAACAAACGAAAAATAAAAATAATATTGAGTTGCCTCCCATCAAGCGCTATTTTTAACGTCGTTAGCTTGACGACCTGATTCAGACTATATGTTTCGAGAGAAATACTTCCTCCACTTCATACATTTTTCCAAATAAGAACTTCCTTATGAGAAATTCTACAATCATATAATTTTTTTATTTTCTCTTGTAGATTTTGGCTTTCTCATAGGCTTTTCTTCGAATGTTTTTTAGCTTTAAAAGCTTATCCGAAATAATAACCGATGAAGTAGCATTTTCTCCTAAAAAGTCATTCTTTAAGTGTTTCAACATTTTTTTCAATTCTATCTCAGGTGCTTGCAAGACATAAGGTAAAATTTTAGTTTTAGAGGAAAATAAAAATAAATCAGAATTGATTGAAAAAATATTTTCAAACTCCATTTTTTCCTCTTGTGGCAAATTTCAAGATCCCTGGAAAGATTAGATTCAATATATTCATCAATTAAAGTATATAAAATATCAACATAATTAATTCTTTCAACTCGATCCGGGTATTTCATTGCTTTGTAAACATCAAATTCAGCGATCTCACCATCAAATTCCATTGTCAGTATGCCACTTCTAACATCGATCTTTGTATGTGCGGTGCTTAGAAAGGGTTGGCCTAAGAGTACTTTGGAATAAGTATCTGACCTATCATGTTCTGTGTCAATGACATAGAAATCTGCAGGAAAAAATAATACATCGACCTTTACTAAGACATTTTCCATCATTCTCACTGGATAGATCACGGACCGATCAGCCAACTGTATGGTTACTCCCGTTTCCTTCAAAGGCTTGTTAGTAATCATTTTATAAATAGATAATGGCATAACGTTAATTGAAGCTTCTAAGTCACACATTGCACGTTTAATTTTAAAATCACCTATTTTGCAAGGTATAACGAACATACCTTGATCCTTCATCTTTGGTGGGAGCTTTCTTTGAAAAATTGAAGAGACATGTTCTCCCAAATTTACCTTTTCGTACCCTATTAATTTCCTCTTTGTGGTGCAAAGTTCTTTTAAAAAATGAGCATACCTTGGTACTTGTCGAATTACTTCAAGAAGAGGTATGTTGACTTGAAATTTTTGGAACACCTCTAAATTCTCCCTTTCTTCAGCTCTTTTATCACGCTTTATCAGTCTTGATGGGAAGGGTGGTGGCGTGATTTATGAGAAGAAAGAAAAGGATGTGAGTCAGGCGTACCTTGTATTTCTGAAGTTAGTGTGTCCTTTTGTTCTTTCTGATGTGCCGCTTTTTCTGTTGGAACTTCGGGTGAGATAACTTTTCCACTTCGGAGTGTAATGGCA